GGATAAGTCTGCAGTGCTGATGGTGTCGGTTGGAGTCCTCTGCAAGCACTAGGAGTATCGATTTGGCGGAGGTACTCGGTCGGAGTGCCAGTGGGTCAGTCACATTTGGTGGCAAGTGGCGGGATGGCGTGCTAGTGCGAGGAGAAGCAGATCAGAGACACTGGTAATGTTACGGAGCTATAATTGAGGGTGACACTAGCACTTGTGCAGCACCCCTGTCTACAGAGAATCCGAAAAGGCATGGATCGGAGTGCTAGTGGCCCAGAGTGGGGTCGAGTGAACATGACATATTGCTATGAGGGCAACGCTTACATTGCGGAGGTAAAGAGGCGGCTAGCCGGGTATGGCCCAGATCCTTCGGAAGAGGTTATCGTCCGAATCATGCACGACTGAGGTCTCTCTACCGGCCCTACAGGGATGCTGGGCAGCCGGCCCAGATCCCCTGTTGCAGCCAGAGCTACAGAGAGAGGAGGCAGGTGGTCCTTATTCCCAAGTCCTGGGGGATCTCATAGACTGGTCCTGGGAGAAACCCCAACTGGTGGGTGGAGATGGGACCGAGGTCTCTCTACGGGCCCTACAGGGATGCTGGGATGCCGGCCCAGATCCCGAGTTGCAGCAAGAGCTACAGAGAGGGAAAGCAGGTGGTCCTTATTCCCAAGTCCTGGGGGATCTCATAGACTGGTCCTGGAAGGAACCCCAACTGGCAGGTGGAGATGGGACCGAGGTCTCTCCACCGGCCCTTCAGGGATGCTGGGCAGTCGGCCCAGATCCCCAGCTGCAGCTGGAAGTACCGAGAGTAAGGACAGGCAGTCCTACTCCCCAGTGGCAGTACATCTCAAAGGGAGAGGAGACAATTGGTCTCCCTCCTAGGGAGCAGTATCTGAGGTAGCGGACCTCATAGACTGGCACTGTGAGGAACCTCAAAAGGCAGGTGGAGATGGGACTGAGGTCTCTCTACTGGCCCTACAGGGATGCTGGGCAGCCGGCCCAGATCCCCAGTTGCAGCCAGAGCTACAGAGAGAGGAGGCAGGTGGTCCTTATTCCCAAGTCCTGGGGGATCTCATAGACTGGCACTGGGAGGAACCTCAAATGGCAGGTTGAGATGGGACCGAGGTCTCTCTACTGGCCCTACAGGGATGCAGGGCAACTGGCCTAGATCGCCAGCAGCAGTGCATCTCACAGGGAGAGGAGATAACCGGTCTCCCTCCCCAGCTGCGGCCTGAGTTCCAGGAGTAGGAGATGCTCGATCCCAGATTCCTGGGGAGTGGAGGCAACCAGCCTCAAACTCCAACAGCAGCTGGAGATACCGAGAGAGGGAACCCCTCATTCCGTAGCTCAACTACAGTGGTAAAGCAACCCTAACCTCACTGGCACAGATGGGACCACGGTCTCTGTGCCAGTCCTACAGGGATGCTGGATGGCCGGTCCGGATCCCCAACTATCCCCACAGGGATACCGGGAGGAGGTAAGCGAGCCT